GCCTTAAGTTAAAGTTCTACATTTGTCTAGCTTTAAGTTGTTGTTTTATACCCTATTCAGACTAGACTTTGCATTGCGACCGGTTGCAATGTAATTGGTGGTAAACAGTTGTAATCCAAATTGTTCGCAACCATTCGCAAACTTTGACAGCATTCAGATGGATACCAGTCAACTCGCCCCCTATCAAACTCGCCCCCTACAAACTCGCCCCCTATCAAACTTGCCCCTTGCAATCTCGCCCCCTTACAAACTCGATCCCTGTCTCTGCACAGTTGCCCCTTACAAACTCACCCCTTAGCAAACTCGCCCCTTGACAAACTCGTCCCTTGACAAACTCGACCCCTAACACAACACAGTCGCCCCCTATCAAACTCACCTCCTAACAAACTCGCCCCCTAACGAATTCGCTTTCGAACAAACTCGCCCATAACCTTTCGGTTACCGCGCTGCAGGTTGGTTTTAAGTATAACTCTCTACCGCCCTCTATCAATATAAATCAAAATATCGCTAGTAGGCTTATATCTGTATTGGAGGTTCTTTTTTAATGATACAAACAAGTGTAAAATTGAGATGTTTATTTCGTCATAAGTAAAACAAATATTTTCTGATGTATTTTTTTAATATACTGGCCCAAGATAGATTGAAATTGATTTAAAAGTTTGTAGGAATACACGCAGGGGCCGGATCCAGCATAGCTGGCAGAAAGAGGGGGTGTGTGAGGTACGAACTGAGTGAGATTCTCAGGGAAAAAATGATAGAGGGCAGTAGAGAGTTACTTACTTAAAACCATAGAGATATAATAAGAATACTAGAGCGCTAACTGCAATGCATTCGATGTTAGAAATACGCAGAACTGTGCGTGTGTACCATCCAAGATGGCTGCCATAGATTCAGCCAATCAAATTTCGCCTAAGTAGTATCATTTTCAATGGCGCCCTCAATTTACTCAGAAAGTTTAGTACAGCTAGTTACCCGTATGTTTGAAACTCGAGCGTTGCGGTGTATGGTACGTGTAATGTACACGATTTTAATTTTTTTATTATTTTTGAATAAGATGCTCTACTTGGCCTCTTTTTGGCTACGATAGTTTAATAATTTGTTATTATCAATACTAATTATCATTAATGAAATAATAGTCAGTCAGAGGGCTTATTTATGGTAATAATATGCATAGTACGCCTGGAGGTGGCGCTTTCCTACGGCAGCCATCTTGGATGGTACACATACACAACTCTGCATTGCTTCGCCATCTTGTCAGCACTATAGTTGTTTAAAAGCTCTATGCTTAAAACCAACCTGCGGCGCGGTAACCGAAAGGTTGGGCGAGTTTGTTAGGGGGGTGAGTTTCTTAGGGGGCGAGTTTGTTCAAAAGCGAATTCGTTAGGGGGCGAGTTTGTTAGGAGGCGAGTTTAATAGGAGGCGGGGAGGAGAAAGAAAATTATATGTATTATCTGCATATTAGTAGACCCTAAAATCAATTAATTAAGCCTTTGAAACCCTTAAATATTCTTGTTGACAAGGGGGCGAGTTTGTCAAGGGGAGAGTTTGCTAAGATGTACGAGTTTGTAAGGTGCGACTGTGCAGAGACAGGGGGCGAGTTTGTTAGGGGGCGAGTTTGTAAGGGGCGAGTTTGTAAGGGGGCGAGATTGCAACGGGACGAGTTGACTGGTTCCTCCATTCAGACACCTTTTTACTTTGATACGGTACTTTACATCACTAGCAACGATATAGGTCGTCCTGTTTTGTTTGACCTCTGATTACGCGCCACATGGCCTACTTGTGTGCTGCCACTGATAAGTGAAATACCAAATAAATATTATTATTATTATTACACAACAATAGCTCCAAAGCAATAACAAGTACAGTACAACACGGATGTTTTCAGTTTCAACAGGGAAATTTCTGTTCCCTGGTTAGCACAGGGCCTTTTTATCACGCAAATTTTTCTATGAATACTAGGGAACTATTGAATAGACTATCTATTGCTTCAGTGCTTCACTGCTGAAGTTGGAATATATCATATACGTCATACATGGTCTGTTACTTTTGGTACAATTATACTAGGCCTATCTACCATCAAGATACATTTTGGTAGATTAAGTTCTACCATACCTGATTCTGATTTGTGTTTACCCACACAGAGATTGCAGTAGCGTGATATTGACTGTTTTAACAACAATGTGCGGATACACAAGACATCACCATATTTAGCGAATGACGACACTTAAAAAGTTAATGATTTAGTTAGGGAAAACCTACCGATTATCTCTCTTTATATTCCTTGTTACTGACTTTGCAAATGTATACTGAAAAGCTGCACCTGGATATTATATACGCCTAGTCTAGGCAACCATTGCCTGCTAAACCTACGTAGCTCTGCTGTTTCATACTAACATACGCATACCATCTGTACGCGTTAATACCGATAAATACGTAAGCCTTGCGATACTAAAAATAACATCACAATTCACAACATTAACCTCCGTGGTCACATGGTGGCGCTAGATTGTAGATGAATAAGAGAATGGAGAAACTAATAGTTGGATTGGATTTATTCGGTGTAAACACCAAGGGTAGCCCAGGAAAGTCTAGAAGAAGACTTATTTCCAGTGGGGTCCTTCTGGTGGTGATTGGGCAGTACACCGGGAGACAACCCCCTACTCTTTTTCCGAAGAGTGTACTGCGTTCTTTAACGTGCACATGGGCCATATAATGCACACGGGACCAACGGCTTAATAAACGTTTAATCCGAAAGACGGTGCGCTATTGTAACTTGCATTTCAGCCCTCTAGCTGAAACACAAGGAGAGGCAGCGATGGGAATTGAACTGGGGACCAAGAGATCTCGACGGTTCAGCGCACACACAATAATAATAATAATAATAATTATGGAGAGCCGTACAAAATAGGTGTTTAAATAACTTGGCAAGCAGCAACAAAATTGCCGTCGGGCCTACTCGTAAACTAAGATAAGGCCAATATAATAGCCTAACTATCATCTCACTGCAGATAATCAATACTTTATTGGAAATTGATACAAAAATAGGACAATATTTGGCCTATTTCATCAGCACTTAATTGTTGCAGGGATTATCAGTTAGAATTTATAAAGAATTAATAAACGAAATTTCATATTTCAATTACTTAGGATTAAATTGGTAAATTTCATTCATATTTAATTTAATTCGGACGTCAAATCCATTTTATCCTTTAACAGCAAATACCAAATAGGCCTATAAATATACGAACTATTAGATTTGTGTAGGCCAACAATGAGGAGCCTACCCTATGTAGAATCTCAAAGCTTTTTGCATTATAAGCCTAATCTTGATGATTTAAAAAGATTATTATTATTATTATTATTATTATTATTATTGTTATTATTATTATTATTATTATTATTATTATTATTATTTATCATTATCATCATCATTAATAATATTAAAAACCTATTATTAATAAAATTGCTATTATTATTATTATTATTATTATTATTATTATTATTATTATTATTAATTTTATTATCATTTACTAAAGTCACAGAGCAGAGACCTAAATATTGAAAACAATTCATAAACCTTGATTGAGATGTGATTCTATATAGCATGGAAAACTGTGGTGGCAGGAACAATCTCTTCAGCTAATGAGCCGAATCACCACACAAGATGTTGCGTTTCTAAGGATATCAACTTACATAATACAGTATATACCATCACTGACGTACAAAATCTGGTTCACACACGAACGAAGCTCCACCAACTCGTTGATAACAGACAACGCAAGCAACATGCTAAATACACGCGAGCTACTTATTGCACTAATCTATTCTACATGTTATTTTGTTATCCAAAGTGAAGCATCTTGCGAACCATCTCCGTGGACGCAATGGGTTCTTTGCTTAGATAATGACCAGGAATATCGCGTGCGCGAAACGCAAAAAAATGACGCATGTACATCCACTCCCTGTAACCACACATCCGCTGAGTACAGAGAGTATCAGGTATTTAAGTAGTATTTTTATGTTGAGATCAAACGTTTTACCTTTGTACAGGATAGGAAAGCTATTTTTCGATCACCCCATAATTCATTATATTTTATTACATTCGTTATCATTACTCTACTATTCATACAATTTCACAGTGTTCCATTCTGAAAACACCGAATGTTGACCAAGACACCAGAGCGGTAAGAAGTGAATTGATGTCTTTAGGTAAGACTCAATTTTATCAGTGTCTCCGTTTCAGCCGTATACTAAGCCATTGCATCAACTTCATATATATATATATTCAATTCAATTCAAAAATACTTTATTATCCAAAAGGAAATTCGCTTGGTTATATGGCTATAAAATATTAAAAAATTAAAAATTATAAAACATTAAAACGTTTAAGTACAGTACTGATATATGAATATATACATTATATATATAGTAAGATCTGTCTCTTATACACATCTAGATGTGTATAAGAGACAGTATATATTCTTATATATAAGCCTATGTATTGTTTTGTAAGAATTTAATTGCTTAATTTATTCCATTTGTAATCACATGATTTGGTATGACAAACAGATATATTTTTATAATATTATAAAATTGTACTCAATTTTCAATACAAAACATCTAGGCCTAATGTACACTACGTTAATTCAGCTCACTGGCCTAGAAATACATAGTTTCAATGTCTTTGATATGATATGTTATGTTATGAAACCAAAGAAAGTATTTGCACCGTTAAATATGTTTATCATGTAGATCCTAATATTACCATGGTAGCTGAGAAACTCGCAAAAGGCAGTGCCAGTGACCGACTGCGCATGAGCAAATACTACAAAGCGGCTTATGGATCGGTATTTGTATCATTATCATGTTATATTTATCGCTATCATTAACATTATAATTATAATTATCATTATCATATTATATTATCGTTATCATTAACATTAT